TTGAGGGCTTAAGCTACAACTTTGAGTTTAAACCCAGCCATATAGCTGTTCAAGTGTTTACCCATTGCACTCAAGCTGCGGGGAGGAACCGTTGAAAACAAAAAAAGAACTGGGGAGTGTGGTCGCGTGGTTCAGCAGCGTTCGAACTGGGAAACCTAAACCTAAGCCGTTTTCCCGTTTCGTGTCTGCTTGTGTTTGCTGTTCTGTGGCCTGCACCGCGAGGAAGAGAAGAAAGGAAAGGAATGTGGAAAGAGCGTAAGCAGAGAAAGAGCAAAGCAAAGAAAGCAACATGTGCCTCGCCTTGTCGCTTTGTCGACGAAGTGACAAAGCAAGCGTTTGGTCTACGGGCCAGCCAGTGTCGTCTGAAAGAGCTTCAAGCAGAAACATTTGAAAGAGCGCACAGTTTGAACGATCAAGCAGCCGTTTGATGAACTATGACGCAGTGAATGTAGTTTGCAGGTGGTCCGTACAACTTGGCGGTTTTCCGGCGTTCATGTCTCATCGAAACAAATAAATCTGATGACTACAAGTATCCGTGAAGTCAACCCAAAGTGCTTCCCGCATAAGCAATCGTGGTACGATCGAGTCTGGTTTTTCTCTTTTATGGCACCTATCAACGTTCTCGGACAAACTGAGCTGGCAGACAGTATGGGAAAACTGACCGTCAAACCTTTCCCAACTCTTGGTACAGGCCCAGTCGCGGCTTCTTGTTGAGAAGGCAGGTTTTCATCCGATTTCTTCAAAAAACAATGCAGGAATGCATGTCACGCACGATGGCCTCCGCCCACAGCCCCAGAATGGAAGTGCGCCCAACGCGCCACCACCGCATCGCGACGTAGCAGAGTTGAGTTTGTGTACACCAGTTATTGGCAGAAAAACAGAAAACCTTTCAGCCTTTCCGCTCTGATGAAGAAGAAAGACCAGCGAAGCTGTACTATGCTGGGACGCCTTCTTGGATGACCTCAAGGAGGATGCCTAGAGGATGATGTCTAGGACTGCATCAGAAACAATGTCTAGGACGACGACCTCAAGGATGACTTCTAGGACGACCTTGAGGATGACACCTACAGGACGACGCCTAGGACGACATCTAGGACAACCACGAGGACGACGCCTAGAGAAATTCAGCCTTTTCACTGTGGTGAAAACCAGGGTGGAAAGGCTGGAAAGATTGCCATCATCCATGAGCGACGGTGGCAACCAGACAACCGGCAAGCTTGTTGTCTGGTTGCTGTAGTCGCTTATAGATTGCGGTAGCTGTCCAGAGTTTTGTGTCAACATTTATTTGGTGACGGACACGATACTGGAGAAACTGGTCCTTCACAAAACCGCTGTAAAAAAAAAAAAGAAAAAAAAAGAACTGGCTACTATGGGTGCCCGACGCCGCCATTTTCCTTCTTGCGGTACTTCTTTTCTTTGTGTCGTGATTGTCGTTAGATAGATAAACAAATATTTATTGGCATTTCTGAGCACAGGTGTCGCAGAAAGGCACGCAGCCCGTACAATAAGTGCTTTGCGACACCCGACTGGGGGTGTGATGATGTTCGTGATAATAAACAGTGAGGCGTAATGAAAAATGGTGCAGTAATGATGCATGGTGAGGAATCGTGAGGGATGGGTCTACATTTGGTAGCAGGTGTGCGCCAGCTTCGCGACAGAGTTGCAGTACTCGTGGTGTGTCACTGATGGGCGTGCTGGTGATCTTACTTGGCAATAATCGCCGTAGCCGTACCGCTCAGACAATGCATGAGCTTGCATAGCGCTCTTGCAAGCAGGGGCTCCAGTGGTTTTTGCATGGAACTGTACTTAGAAAATCATCCATTCCTGATATAAAAATTAAATAGCGCAAAGGTTAGACAAAGGACAGAACATGTACACAGGACATAGGCTAACTTACAACTGGCGTTTTAATAGAAAAGAAGGAAGCAGCATATAAATACACCGAAAAAAAGGAAGAAAGAAGATTTATAATAAAAGGAGAAAATTGAAAGGTATAGCAAAAAGAAAAGAAAAGAAAGCTGCACAACTAAATTAATTCCGGGGAATATATTGAAATTAAGAAAAAATCTATAGCTTAAAGAAAGAAGTTGAAAAGACTAGAAATTCCCGCTGAATCAACCTCAAGTTGGCAACCGAAGGTAAAATAATTCTTTTTCAGTTACTGTCACCGATGGTGCACTCACACAGGCGTTTTCCTTTTCCTTGATGGTTAGGGCCTCGTATATTTCTCGTGAAGTTTTATCTCGGAACCGTCGTAGGATTTTGGTTTTTGTCAGGCTCGGTTGGCATTTACAGTCTCTAACATGTACTGCGAGATGCTGGAGTTGATTTGAATGAGGTGGCGTGTTCCCGCAATCTGGTGACGACGCAGCGGCCTGTCTGACCGACGTATATCTTGCCACAAGTGAATGGAATTTCATAAATTACCTGGCTTTGGCAAGGTACATACTTTTGCTTGTGCTTGACGGTGCACTGAACTTGTCGATCTTGAGGATTATTTATCTTTGGACACAGATTTGCCAAGAGTGGGAGCACTTGAAATCTTTCATTAATGTTTTAGGAAATACATTTGTAATATAGAGGTGTTTACTACATACAAGAGCAGTTAAGTGTGTTGTCCTCACACAATAGGTATTGTGAAATTCCTACTAAAATGTTTTTACGTTGAAACCATAGAAAATGGGAGGGGGATTTAGAAAATATTTGTAAATGAGAAAAAGTTCATTATTCTGACGTTGGCAATAAGGAGATTCAAAACCGTTGCGCAATCCGCGTGTCTCCGTCGCTCGTCCATGATGATTGTTCCTGGCAACTGTGGAAGAGCACCGATAAAGCACGTTCTGTGGAAATGAATGTAATCTTTGGAGTGACGTTTTTCCTGGTTCCTCTGCGATTGCCAACTGCATCGTCGAAAGTCTAGGCAAGCCATTCCGACAAAAGATGGTACGGGGATAACAGCGAGTGTGGCAGCAACTCGACGCCCCCTGCAAATAATGCGCTTTTCCTTCGCGATTGCACGGCAGAATCGCAGTATTTAGGGGCTAGGTTTTCTCATTTCATAAACTATATAAGAAATACGAGCTGAAAATTTGTTCGCCCAAATCCTTTCCCTTTTAATTAGAGGTGTGCGAATATCAAAATCTTTCCAATACAAATAGTAGTTTTGAATAAGAAAATTTTTTAAAACAAATATTTTCTATTCGATGTGGATTAAACGAGAATGCTAAATTTAAACACAACTAGAATTTTTTTTTTCAACAAATTTTTATGAAACGGTTACTTTTATTGTAGTAAGAAAAATGTCACACATGTGACTGGTGAAAAATCCGAAATAAAAGATCAGTCAGTAAAACAGCATTCAAGAAGTGAAGTTGCAGAATGTGAATGAAACTAAAAAAGTAAAGGCGGGTCGGCAAGCAACAATGCAGTCGGAAGTCGCGCCATGGACGAATGCAACCATGTGAGTGTAAACGGAAGTACACAAGCGGAGGCGGGTTGACAGCAGAGTTGGAGATTGTGCGATGGCGCTGCGCAGCCGCTCTGACTTTGCACCATCTCTTTCCGTGTGCTCTGTCCATAGAGGGCACCACAAAGAGGCAATAAATTATAAATATGTTGTTTTTTTTGCCGGAGGGAGCAAGTCTCACTTTTACCAATGAAAATGGGTGGGAATAAAAGTAATACTGGCAAACTGATGAACCAGAAAATCATGCGGAAAATAACCATCCTGATATTGCCGATAGCCGAGGTCAGCCATAAATTCATATCCGAATTCATAGCACCTTGGCTACTGTAGTGGCTGTGGGAGCGAAATTGCAAAAAAAAACAAAAAACGTTCAGCTTTTCCACTTTTATGAAGAAGAAAGACCAGCAGAGCTGTACTCATTACACTGCCGCAACGCGCACGCCGCCGATCGTGGATACGTCTCCGGCGAACCAGAGTCAGTCGCACACGTTGCACGTGACGCCAAATGGGTAATCCACGAACTCCCTCTGGAACCTTGCTGTCGCGCCCGGGAACTGTTCAGCCGGCGTGGAATGCAGTTGTGGCTGGGCCCCACGCTTGCGCTTGGCCTCCATGGCATGATCGTCGTCCGTGGACGACCTCTAAGACGACCTCAGGGATGACGTCTAGGATGACCTCAAGGACAACTTCTAGGACTACCTCGAGGACAGCATCTAAGACGACCTCTAGGATGACATCTAAAACGACTTCATGGACGACGTCTAGAACGACCTCAACGACGACTTCTAGGATGACCTCGGGGACGACGTCTAGGACAACCTCAAGGACGGCATCTGGAACAACTTCAAGGACGACATCTAGAACAACCTCAAGGACGACATCTAGAACAACCTCAAGGACGACATCTAGGACAACCTCAAGGACGACGTCGAGGACAACTTCAAGGACGACGTCGAGGAAAACGTCTAGGACGACCTTGAGGTCGACGTCTAGGACAACCTCATGAACAACGACTTCAACGATGACTTCCAGGTTGACCTCGAGGACAACCTCAAGGACGATGCCTAGAGAAATTCAGCCTTTCCACCCTAGTGAAAACCAGAGTGGAAAGGCTGGAAAGGTTGCCGCCATTCTTGCCAAGCTCGAAACCATACTGCGCATTACAAAAACAAAACGGCAAACTCGACCGGATGTTGACACTAATTAGTGAATTCCGCGTTATTCGTAGTTTTCGAAGTACTCGAAGAACTTGAATACTTCAAACAGTGAAAGTGCGAGGTGAATCGTATGGAATAGCAAGCATTATTTCTGAAGTATTTGAAGTTTTGAATATTCGCACACCCCTACTTTCAATTGTGGGCAGCCGTTATCTTTGTTTTTCAGGTTCAGCATTGCTATCTTTTGAGCAAAAGCTATCTTGAGAATCTTAACAACTTGTGGAAAGGAGGTGGTATGTGTCAGTTCTTAGTCATTGTTGGGAGGATTATCCTTTTGCATTGTGATTCTGATTCCGAATGCTTTTGTTGTTTTGCAGCGAGCACCCCCAGTTCGCGGTCCGTGTCTCCCACCCTGACCTTCACGTAAGTGTTGAGGTTAAGGTGTTCTGTACGAAGTAGGGGTAGAGGGGGTCAGCTTGTCCATTTGTTTTATCACATACATATTTAGAAGGAAAGACCATTTTGTAGAGATACAATCATCCTTATTTTTCGGGTACCCCAAAACAACCGGACAGCCTTCTCTTGCGTGCACCAATACAAACACAAAGCAGAAGAAGCTATTGAGCACAAAATCTACTCGCACAAACCTACCGTAAAATCCCGAGAGATGCCCCACCACCGAAAGATAGCCCACCTCTGTTTTTGGCTTGATTTGCTATATTCTTTTAAACACTTAAAGCTAGCCCACCCCTGGTAATAGTAGTGTTGTGTATACCGTAAAGCCCCGCATATAATACGAGTTTTGTTTCTTCAAATTTTGCCAGGTAAAATTTGCGGCTCCTATTTTACGCGGGTCCCAACAATTTACAGCTTCGATGAGGCGCGATCTAACGCTGTTTGACGTAGTTTTGGTTTCGAAGCAGTGGGGCGCTCAAAACAGCTGTCATTGTCATTAAAGTCACAATGTCCGAGGCGCCACCATCCGTCCACAGTTGGGCTCGGCAATGGCGTCTGCGCGAAAACAATGATCGGCCGCCTTCAGAAGAAAAGTTTTTTTGGCTGCGAAAGACATCGGCAACAGTGCTGCCGGATGACAATTCGCCGCAAATGAGGGCAATATCCGCGGATGGAGACGACAAAAGCAAGCTCTGTTTGCATGCAACGGAACGAGAAGAAGCTTTAGGAGCCCGAAAAATGGCGTGTTTTGCCGACGTCGAGGCAAGCCTCGGCGACTTTGTAAAAGAGCAACGTGAAGGGCACCTCGCCGTAACTTTGTAAACGAGCAACGTGAACGGCACTTCGCTTTAAACATGGAGCCGCTGCATAAGAACTTTGGCAAGCCGGCATTGGGTTCTTCGCTTTATGCACCGCACCGGGATTTCACTGCATCGGTGCTCTCTTGTCGCTCCTTCTTTCAAGAAGAGCGGAATTTCAAATGCACTCGACGGCACTGAAGACTGCCTTTGGGAGGAAGCGTCGGACAAGGAGTCTGACGGACGTGATGACAGTGATTAAAGTTCAATTATGACGCAGATAAACGTTTTTCTTAAGACTTCCTGGGTCGTACTTCACGCGAAATATTTTCGTTGTCCTTATATTTGTTTCGCATTATATGCGGATAAAACTTTTCTTTTTTGCGGTCCTCAAATTATATCTCGTATTATATGCGGGTTTTTACGGTACTTTTCTACTGGTCCATCGTTTGTTTGCGCTGTATTCTCATTGCAATCAATGATGGCTTAAATGTGGCTAGTTAGCTTTGGCGATGTAAGCGATATAAGTGGCGTTTAAAAACTGTATTGCCAATATTTATATTCCAGATTTTGACTAACCTATTGTTATTTTTCTTGTTCTGTTTCATGTGCATATCTTAGATTTACTTTATATTATGTAACCCACTCCCCTCTGTAATGCCCTCGGGCCCTGAGGGAAAAATAAATGAAATGAAATGAAATGAAACGTTGCTGACTGGAAAGTACAGTCATCTTGCTTCCTTGCCCCTCACCACCATAACAAGCTTGGAAGGGACACAACCTAAAAAAAGTAATTTTTTAAAACTTTCCCTGATTGTATGCCGAAAGTTAGCCCACTCTATATTTTCACTCGATTTGCTCTCGATGTTAGGTGGGCTCTCTTTCGGGATTTTATGGTATTACTAAACGGAACCACTACTAAACAGAATTATAGCATATCAATGTGGTGCAAGCTCATCTAAAAAAATCTAGATGATGGAATGTCTTGCATCTTTAAAATCTGAAGTTGAGCATTGCTAGTAATGGAGTGCAATCGATTAGTTTCTTTGTTTGAGTATTGGTATATACCCAAAGATGGTTGGGAGGCATTCACTGACTGCCTTATCTGTGTATGTTTCTGTTGAGCATGTGCTGACCGCGAGCTTTCGTGGCAATATTCTTTTGTTAAAGGCTCGATAAGAGTCGGAGCACATCAAATAGGCTCATGTTTTGCCTTCTCTAAGCCTGCCTGCAAGCCTGCCTGCAAGCCTGACAAGCCTGGTGAAGCCTCACGGGTGTGCTCCAGTGCAAAGTGGTGAAGCTTAAAGAAAGCATCGCAATTGTCATGGATACTTACCAGTGTTGTAGGCATTACCGTAAAATAGTAACGAAATACGTTACTTGTTACTCGCAAATAAAAGGAACGCATTACCGTTACAGATAAAAGTAACACCCGTTACTTGTGCGTTACTTTTTTAACATCATTAATTAACAGGTTTAACTTTTTTGACGTTACAGGCATGCATAAGCGCCATATTTTAATCTCCATCCAGAAATTGAACGCAATTACCTTATATTTTTATACAATTCCACCAAAATACTCAGGGAAAAAAAAAAAAGGCAAAGAAAAGCGTAAAACCCTCGAAATTGTATAATGCTTGGAAATATACAATTTTGGACACCTGGAAACACGAAACAAACTAAAGTAGTTTTTTTTAAGTGTTGGGAAGAATATGTAACGAGCAACGTAGCTATGTTACACATTACTCAAAATAAGTAACATAAGTATGTTACCCGTTACAGTTTTGAAAAGGTGACGAATATGTTACGTTAGTAGAAAAAGTAACACGTTACTGATAACGCCGTTACTTGTAGCGCGTTACCGCCAACACTGGTGCTACCAAGGGGTCGTGCAGTCAACAAGTGGCTTTTAGCTGTGGTGGCTAGGTATGCCAGCAAGTAAATAGTGTTCGTCACCATTCCCTTTCTTTGGTTGGAATTATGGTCCAACTCTTTATTTAAATGTTAGAAAAGATTTTCAGCCACGATTATGTAAAGTACGCTAAATTTCCATGAAATGTAATGTCTTTTTGTTTGAAACTATTCAGTTTGAAGTAAAAAAAGGTGATTGCTGAGACCTGCTTTGCACCGGCAGGGCCGCATCGGAGGTGGGCAGCCTCGACACCAGCAACGTGACCTTCCGGAGAAGCAAGGTCGGCCATTTCTTGTTTCTCCCTCGGAATCAGCGGCATTGTTGGCGTGCACCTTTGTGGGATCCAGGTGTTCACCATGATGCAGAATAGTGCACAGAGAGACAAAAGAGAAAGGAACACTGACAGCTCTGGTCTGTTAGTTGCTTTGGGTGCAAAAGAGGCTGCCTGTTCGCAATCGTTTGGCTCTGACTGATGTGCATTCCCCCTGGTGCTGGTCTCCTCTGTCACGAGTGAATCTTGCTTCATCTCTCTTTTCTTCAGCACCAGAGCTCTGTGTTCCTTCCCCTTTTGTCTCTTTTTGCGCAATTTTTCATCATGTTCAACGTTCACCAACTCGCCCAGCTTATTACTTTACTGCAGTGTTCAGCAAAACTTGGAACTTTGTGGATTGCATTCAAGCTTTCAGGTACAGTTGCCGACTGATTATTCGGACTTTGCAGGGACCGAAAAAACATCTGAAGAATAGAACAGTCTGAAAAATCAGCAGATTGAAAAACATGCCTTTATTACTTAAAGGGGCACTGACACCCCAAAGGTCGTATTATTTTTTATTGTCTAAAATGATGCAAGTTATAGTCATAGACACGCAAAAAAAAACGCATCGCGAAAAAAAATTTTTTTGCGCGCGCGCGCCTTTTTATTTTTGGCGTTTATATTTCCCGCGCTCACCTCCTTGCTTCTTTCGATCGGTGACGTCAAAAATCAGGAAATTTAGAAGCTTTGTAGGCGACATTTCTATACCATTTAATAACGGCAATCGTAAAACATATTTTTTAACGCGGTTGCAAACGCACTACGGCCCCTCTTTTTGAAATACCAAAAATCAGAATTCGGTGCGATGTCGCTTCCTGGATTTGTGTTCTCCCTCGGCAAACTTGACGGTGCTCGAGCAGAGGCTTATCGGCGATTCGGGGAAGAAACCGGTTTTTTCCCGTGCCGGCGCCGGTCACCTCCTCCTCGCTTCGGGTCGCCGTGGCAACGGCGGAGGTCCCAAAGAAAGTCGGGTCGCAGGAGACCGCAAAATTTGACTCGCTGCACTGGCGCGGATTACGCGGGAACTTCAAATTCGGCATTTGGAAATTGTTTTTTTAATTGAGAAATACCGAATTCCCAAGTTTCAAATTTCGAGGGTAATGTCCCGGCATCGTTTTCAATCGTTTCGGATAGTAAAAAAAAATATGATTTTGATGTGTCAGTGCCCCTTTAAGAGTGGACTCAAAAAAAGCCGTAAATAATGTAATATGTATCACAATTCACCGCCCACCCCCAGGCTGCCTGAAATTCATAAAAAAGGTGGGCCGTGTCTCGGTGGGTGAGCTCAAAAAGTTGAAAAAAAGCGGAAAAACTGCCCATTTTTCTCTGCGTATTTAGCGCAGCTGCAAAAGAGATACATTACCATATTTACTCGTACAATGAACACACTCGTGTAATGGACGCACCCCCAAGTCGGCTCTCAAAATTGCCACTTTTTTTTTCACTCGCGTAATAAACGCACTACCAACTTGGACATCCAAAATTTTGACCCCCTCCCCCACGCGCGCAAAATGAACGCAGTTTTCTACCCTGGTGCAGCGAGATCGCGAATGCGTGGGAAGCGTGGGCGAACAAAACGCCTTGCAAAAGGCGTTAAAAAAATTTTAAAAATATCCAACGGAAGCAAAAAAAAAAAAAAAAACATGGCGAGGAATTTTTTTTTTGCACAGGGCAGTCTGGATTTTGGAGTCGCACGCAAGGAGACAAGAAAGATAAGCGGAGAAGCTCGCCTATGCAACGCCTAAGCCAACGAAACAGCTTGCGAAAGGCGGAAAAAAAACAAGAAAAAAAAACCACAGAACTAAAAACAAAAGCAGCTTTTTTTTTTTTCTTTCTTTTTGCACAGCGCAGTTTGGTTAAGGGGTTGCACGTTGCGCACAAAGAGATAAGAAGTTAGGTCGATTTTTTAGAATAAAAGTTCCGTTCATTAGGTGAGTAAATACGAATGGTTGAGGTAAGCAGGCTCTGTGTAAACAGTAGATGCAAGGAGGATCATTATTACCAGTGGCCATCACTGACCTGTTATGCCTTATTGTACATTTGGTCCGGTTCTGCTCACAATTTTCAGTTTCTGCGTCGACCATCTCAGTTACAGTTTACGCTTTTGCAGCTTGAGCGACGTCATGACTGAAAATAGCGAGCAAAATTCGGGCTTGAGCGTCCATTCTTGGGGCTTCCATGTAGAATTAATGGTCACATGTCGCCTTATTCACACAAACTTTTGCGGTGTAACGAGCCTCGCTAACTTGGCTCGGGCCGCTAAAAGAGTCGGACATTTCCAGGAAGACATCCAATGAACAAATCCGAGGCGAAAAAGAGTCCGACCAGATTGCATTCCAGTGGTTTGTTTATGGGCGGCGGCATCTGTCCTCACCTGTGGACAAGATGCACGAGCCCGAAAAATGTAGCTCCAGCCGAATGTCGGAAAAGACATTTATAAACCGTTGCTTCAAGGGTGACTGAAAGCACGCGGAGCAGCTCATAGTCTTCAAAGTAAAATATAAAAAATATTTAAATAAAAAAATTACGGTTAGGAGCTGCTGCTGCTCCGTGTGCTTTCAGTCCCCCTTGAAGGAAAAACCGAGCTGGTTTCAAAACATGGGGCTCCCCTTGGAGATTCGGACTTTTCACCCAACTATGTTAACTTTCAAGATGGGATTTTTTCGGCTGATTGTTGTTGTTGCAACACTTTTGGTGGCTCCCATGGAGCCAGATTCTTGGGCAGCAACGAGCAAAGCGGGTCTTGTGCAATCCATGCCCGGCTTAAGAGAGCACCAGCTGGGAGATTGGTGGTGTTCCTCGCTCACTGGAGAACACAATGCCAACTGAATGCAGGCGCGCCGCAAGACGGCCACCCCTCAAGAGCTGCTGTATGCGTCCAGCATGGATGCTTCGCTGCCGTCGCTGCCTCAGACGGAGGAAGCGTCCACGGATCCCCCGCATGCCCTGCCGGCCATGGAGGACGTGATGGCCATGTCGCATCCCGACGGGGCCTGCTTCGACCTCGGACCCGACGGGAACCTGACCAGGGTTTCCAGTGCACCGGGATCCCTCAAGTGAGTGGCCAAAGCACAATTTCAACTCGGTGCCTCATCTGGTGCAAAGCTTTATGCAATGGCGCACATTGAGCTTTGAACCTTGGGGATCCTTGTTTGCATTGAACGTCGGAAACTTTGGGGAACTTGGCACATGAGAAAGTTTAGGGGGCTTGAGCTTTGAGATTGGGGATTTCTGAGTGTGGGGAACTCCAAGGGCGTGGGGAACTTCAAGTGCGGGCAACTTTTTGCTCAGGTTCGGTGGCTGGCTGTCCTGTTACACTTTGTAGCGATACAAGCCAAAGTGCCAGTGTTTGGCAGACGAGGGTTTCATTTCATTTCATTTAATAATCCTTAAGGGTCCTCTTTCGAGGGCATTACATAGGGAGGGGGCAACGCGAGAAATTATACAAAAATGAAAAAACGACAACATAAAAAATACGTAACAACGCACACTCGTGCAACGTAGCTAGAAAAACCTAATTTGGTATGGAAAAATACAACATGATGGAGCTTTTGAAAACCGCAGGTTCGGTTATTGTAACGAGTGATTCTGGAACATTGTTTCAGTCCACATTTGTGAGTGGGAGAAACGATTTGTTAAAGGTATCACTGGAACCCGATAAACGTTGAAAATTATAGGAGTTATAGAGGCGACGAGACGACCGTGCGGGAGTGCGCAGGAATGAACTTGGAACAGTGGGGGATGGTAGCGGTAAAGTTTATGGAGTAAGCAAAGACGTGCAACCTTGCGGCGTACCTCCAGAGTTGATAAATTTAGGCTCGTTTTCATAGCAGAGACCCTGTTTTTATAGTCATAGTTGGATAAACTGTAGCGGGTTGCTCGGTTCTGAATTGCTTCAAGTTGGGTGATCGAGTAATTTTGGTGCAGATTCCACATTGTAGAAGCATGTTCCAATTTTGGTCGAGTGAAGGTTTTGTGTGCAAGTTTCCCAAGTTTTGGAGGAGCAGCATTCAGGCAATGCCGGATGTAACCAAGGGTCCTTGCTGCGTCTGAAGAAATTGTGTTAACGCGATTAATCTATGTCATATCGGAAGTTAGTACGACACCAAGATATTTATACCTATGGACTTTCTCGTCGCCCGGCTCACACTGGAAGGAGGAAGGGACTCTTTTGCGAGAAAAGTGGATTTGCATTTAGGTTTATTTAGTGGCATCAGCCACTTGTTACACCACTGAGGGACATTATCTAGATCCTTTGGGAGGAGTTTGCGGTCATTAGGTGATCTCGCGATATAGAACACAGTCGTCTGTAAAAATACGTATGTGAAAAGAAATGGAATTCGGAAGGTCATTAATAAATATTAGAAAAAAAAAGAGGGCCCTGGGGCACGCCAGGCGTGACATTAATTAAATCAGATTCCTACCCATTTAAGACTGTGTACTGCGTTCGTGAGTCAAGAAAATTACGTATCCCCATTAGGACTAGGTGAAGGCGAGAAAGTTTAGAGATTAAACGAATATGTGGGACACAATCCTCGGAAAAGTCTAAAAATATTGCGTTGTTTCGATGCGAGATGGAAGGCTGCAATGAAGGTCGTGCGTAAATCCAAAGGGTTGCGTCTCGCAAGAGTAACCTTTGCGAAGCCACGTTGGTGGTGGTAGAATTGCAATCTAAATGCGACATTATGTTCAAGAAGTTTAGATGGAACGGAAGTTAGTGAAATGGGAAGGCAAGGAGCAATCGTAATTTCTGTGGACCGGAACAATCCTACCTACCTTCGGATAGTGACTGATTAAATATCAGTTTCAAAATATCCCTAGATGCAATCTTAGTATTGTTCAGAATCTTGGATGATATGTTATCTGACCCTGAGGAGGATGAAAGCCCATCGATAAGCGTGGCAATACCGGCCGATGAAACGTCGATAGGGGCTCGTAGTGAACAGCGGGTAGTTCAGGCGCACATTTAAAGGACGTCCGTCGAGATGGATGCGAAAAAGCTGTTCATTACCTCGGAGCACATTCTTTCCTCAGCTGGGTTGCCACCCTCATCGATAAGTTGAATGATATCATTGTTGTTTTTGGACGGGATTATATTCCAAAACTTTTTGGGGTCGTTCTGAAGGATAGTTGGAAGGTCCTGATGAAAATACTTTATTTTTGAAGCTTTTATTAGAGGGATATAATCCTTAAGGCAAGCATAATGCTTCTCCCAGATACTTGAACAGCTGGTCATTCTTGCTTTGCGAAAGAGGCGTTTTTTCTTATTGCCAAGTGACTTGAGCCTTTTGTTATACCAGGGCTGGCAACCATCAGTTCGGATCCGCAGAGTAGTTACAAACGCCTGAATAAGGTCATTCAATTTATTTTTATATAAAATCCAGTTGTCATTCACACTCCTTAGATCAAAGTGGATTTGATACGACTGCAAGAAAGTGTTCAGATTTCTGTTCATTGACACAAAATCTGCTCTACTATAGTCCCGTATCACCTTTTTGACAGGCCTCTTGATCAAAATGGAAAGGGACAGCGAGATGTGCAAAAATTTCTGGTCACTGAATCCTGAATGCTGTAGCTAACGAATTGAACCAGATCAGGGGAGGACGTGAGTACAAGGCCAAGGATGTTATCCCCACGGGTTGGCCTCATAACAACCCGAGTTAGAGTAAAAAGCAAACATAGTTCCCGAAACTCGCAAGAATCACGGGATGCATCGGCTGTTAGACTTGACCAGCTTATATTGGGAAAGTTGAAATCTTGGAATAACAAGAGGTTCGCTTTTGGAAAATGTTATCTCCAATAGGACTTTATGCAGTTCACTTGTGAATGCAGAGTCACTATTCGGGGGCCTGTAGCAGACAACAAGTACAGTTTTAATTATGGCCGAACAAAGGCAGACACAAGTTATTTCCAAACTGCATTGTAACTGAAGGCAGAACAAAGTGATATGCCTTTTGACTCCGATACGAACACCCCCACCGCGTTCAAGTGGCCTGTCCTTTTTGCAGATACAGAGATGAAGGTGATCGGGAAATAGTTTGTCATTGCAAACATTTGGCCTCAACCATGTCTCGGTCAGCGCAACAATATCAGAATTACTATCTTCCAAAACACTGCACAGTTCCTCTCTTTTATGCATGAGGCTGCAAATATTAGTGGAAGAAACGTGATATGACAAACTTTTTGTTACCGTACGTGCTAATGAACTGAGAGCATTACGAGATGGGTTTATTACAGATCGTAGTTATGCAGAAAATTCTTTTACACGGTCTGATGCAGCGTCATATACAAAGTTTAGCATACGGAGCTTATCGAAACAGTTGGCGATCTTGCAAGTCTTGTCCATTTGGACGAGTACATCAGTGTATACTTTCTGCGTGGGCAACTGCTGCGTTTATTTGATTCTAGGTTTTCCTGGCACTTTCCTTTCAAACTTGATGATCTACCCATAATTGTGTCACCAAAGAAGGTTGACCTATGATGGGGAGCAAACGTCAGGGCTCCATCGAGCGATCTCCTGCATCATCTGCTTGCATTCTGCAAGGCAGGGAACATGTGCACGAGTGCAGTGGCGTAGACGTGGCAAAGTGTACTGGATGTTTGGATCATGTGGCCAGTGCAGTTGACAAGCTGCATAGGAATCCTTGCACTTGTTTAAAATTGAGGTGAACTTCAATCAGTATTCTAATAATTTTCATCATTCTTGACAAGTTCTTTAGCTAGGCTGTTCAGAAGGTAGATGCAGTATACCATGAAAATTGACCAAGAGAATGGGATGGTTTGGTTCGCTCAACATTGTATCTTAGTTAAAACACCTAGGTAATTTTAATATAAAAGTCATGCTTGTACAACATTTTGTTTATGCAGGGGTGGTCCATTTTCACCCTTTTGATAAATTCCGCTTCCCTGCATTTCGCTGCACCCAAAGGGAAAAATTGTGCCAAACTGCGGCAATGCAACGAGTCTGCGGACAAATCAGTTTTTGGAAGTCTTCATCTGGCAACAGTGGGAATCCAGTGGTGTTTGGCCATCAAAATCCAATCCAGGTTTCCGGCATTGTTTTGCAGGTTTTACACGAATTTTACCGACATTCCCAACGCAGTGCAGCTTCGACAGTTTTAGTTGCATTTCGAAGCGCACTATACTGAAAATTTACTAGTACAAGTAGTTTTTTTTTTCTTTTTTTTTCGCGTGCTTATTTTTTGATGCATAACACTGCTTTATAGGAATGTGCTCACACATGGTTCTCATGTCGTTAGCATGCTCGGTCTGTACCGCTTGGTTACGAATTATTGCCTTTCCTCACGTCAAATGATGCGACTCCTTGAGGCCCGCTTCAGACGGGGCAACTTTTCCAGCAATTCCGGTGTTGCTGGCGGGTTGTTCCCTAGCTTTCCCTAGATCGACACGAATTGCTGAGATCGGGTCCGACTCGAACGAGCGAGCAACTCGGAGCAATTCGAAGACGTTTGAAACGGCTGCAGCCAATCAGGGACGCGATATTTTCACGTGACACCCCTGTGGTGGTGATGATGACAGCTATAAACTTGGTTCTGGTTTGAGATGGATTGTTTTTGAAAATAAACCTTTTCAGAAAGATGAGTTAGTATTCTCAACACCATTCAAAGATATAAAAACACCTTTTTAGCGCGTAGCTGTGCGTCTAAATAGTGTAAGAAAAATAAAATTTCATGATGATGATAGCAAGTCGGAGCAATTCGGTTGCTGCGTGTGAACGCGGGCGGCCCGTGTTGCTGGAGTTGCTACATCAAGTTGCTGGGCGAAATTGCCCAGTCTGAAGCGGGCCTGACGGTACTACAGTCGAACCCCGCTTCAACGAGCGCCGCATCAACGAAATTTCCGGTTCAACGAATATTTTTTGGTTCTCCGTCAAAGGTCCGTAAGAGTCAATGCACAAAAATTCTCACTACAGCGTACAGAGTTTCTTGTGCCGTTCCACTTGAACGAAATTTCACGGAGCAATTCAAAGTTTGAAAGTTTGATATTCCGTACGAAAAACAAACTTGCGAGCACTTTGGTGCATTTTGGCACACAA